CCAGTCACGGTCTTCGTCGCCGCCGGTCGGACTCTCCGGACTGTCGAGTTCGTAACGGATGTTGGCAAACTTTGCCTTCAGCGCTCGCGCAATCAGTTGTGCTGGACTGTCGAGTCCGCTGTTGTCGAGGCAGGAAAGTTTAAAACAAAACATACGGACTGATTTCATAGCAATTCTAGTTAACGAAACTTACAGTTAGCAATGCAGCCTCAACCGTTCAAACCAGTTACTCAGTCAATTCAAGATGTCTAGTTTCAGCAATGACTGCCTCTTGCTCGTTCACCTTCCTTCTAGTGGCAATTGTGTGGCTAGCGGCAGCTATAAACCGCAACAAAACAGCGACTACAGCATCGACCATAACATCGAATTGACAGGTCTTTCAAAAGAGGTGTCTAAATCAGCATACATCTACGGGTTTGACGGAGGACGTTATGGATTCACGCTAAGATCAAGGAGGTTGATGTGTTTCATTTCAGAATCATGATGAAAGAGAGCTGTGATATTTATGGGAGTCGATTGTGAGTACAAACCTCCTGAACGCAATGCTAAGCAGCAGTATGAGAAGAGACACCGGAGTATATTTAGTCTGTCAAACGAGCAGAAATGGGCGCTGTCCGCATGAATTTCTACTCAAATCGCGAACACACGTGACAACTGGACGATAGGCTCATTTCGAGCGAAAAAACGATCATAATGACGGCGGAACATCTGCCTTGTATGGTGATTGGTTGGTGGCCAAGACGCCGACTAGCGAAATCTTAAAGTGGCAGAACAAGGTGCCCAATGTACCAATGACGAGTTTTCAGAGCTGCATCTACAGATAGAAATCGCTTGGGCACGACCACCACGACCAGGTGAGCAACCCCGCTGCAGGGCAAGCAGGCAGGTTACTTCTTTGAACTATGCACATGGAACTTCAGAAATCCATTATTTACGTATCGGGACACTGTGATAGCCAAACCAGGTGCTGACCTACACAAATTTAAATTAACTATACTAACTCCACTGCATTTTAATATTATCACAAATATCGAAAAAGACTAGTCATTTTTATGGCCTTTTTAATTAAAAGGAGTTATCCCCTGGGTACTTCAGTAAGCAATGCATCGATTAACATGTCCTGGCAATTGTAGATCAGTGTGTTGTGAATCGCGTTGATTCATGCTCGCTAATCCGGTCGCTCCGCTCTCGATAAAATGTACCGTTTCATAGCATGCCGTCAGCCATGGGCGAACCCCAACTCACACTAAATTAGCGTGAGCGTTTATCCTGGATTAACACTACGTGTGATAACATACCTCCCCAAGTTTCGATGTCAGCGATTTCACACACCTGAGCTGCAAATACACACGCGCGAACGCCAGACACACACACACCGCCAGTCCTCATCTTCTAGGGTAGAAGGGTGGCGTAATCGAGGTAAGTTTAATGCGGTGGCCCCGACGTGGTTCAAGACCACACGTCGGGACCTTCAACAAGTGCCGTGGAAATAGAAGTTTCGGCCGCATGAAAATGCCCGTGTAAGGGATACTCGAGTTATCAGATTATTTTTTTTAACCACTAGTGAAAGTGGATGGGAGTGAAAGACAATTAAAAATATTAAGTAGCAATCCGTTGATTTCGGTGCTTGCTGCGTCAGATATAGCCTTTACTTATCGACCGCATGACCGTGAGGTGTGCAAAATGCATCGATGACAGAATATCTCTCATTTTTTTAAGCCGGATTCTGTTCAAACTTTTTGCGAAAATGATCACCACACATAGACGGACAGCACATGCTAATCTGGTAAGATCATACCCCAAAGTGCTCCAAATAAGAAAAGAGGTTTTAACGCTTGCTGATTAGTTAGTGGTAATTAGGGGGGTACGTCGTGAATTGCCATGTCGGCGCTGTTTTAGGTGCCGTACACGAAAACAGGAATGGGCGTGCGGAACTAGTGCAAATCGGGAGTCACGTTACCTGGCGGTGTTCTCGCAATCCGCGGGGCGACTGCGAATCGGTGTGCCTCCAGCCGACCGGCGGACAGACCGCAGCTTGATGGCGCCCGACGTCAACTCCTTCAACACCTGGGACATGTCACCGACAGCGGGACTGTTGACCTGCGGCTGCTTGGCAGGGTTTTGACCCTACAACACGCATTACCAACACTTATGCACTAAAACTTCTCAGCGCCAAACAAGGGCACTCAATCAAGCACAAATCTGGATTGAAGAATTGGGGGTGAATTCGAGTACCTTTTTTTCTAGAAGTTTGGCTCGCCAGTCAACTAAAGGCGGTGGTGGTGGTGGTGGAGGTGGCGGAGGAGGAGGAGGCGGAACCCCTTGAAGTACCGGAGTGAAGAAGGGAGAGGGAGGCGGAGGGGGGAGTCCTTGATCGAGACAAGATGAGCTCTCCACTACACCGGAGTCGCTCATGCCATCCTCCGCGACTCGACAAACGGGATCAGTCATTACCGAAGTGGAAGTGGTACTGCGTCTGACAACATTAATCACTCGGTAGGTTTCTTCTCGGGTTACTTCACCTTCTCTCCTTGCGGGAGTAGAGAAGCCGAGTTGGTCGCGCTCCTGAAGGAGGACAATTTTGGCCAACTGGGAGCGAAGAAGAGCCAGCTCCGTTTCCAACTGTTTGATTCGCTCTGAATCGGATCGTGGGTCCGGTGGTACTACAAGGGAAACACTTTAATGTACCTTGCGTGTGACATTGCTACGCGACTTTTGAAGGCCGCCTCTACTCGGGTACTTACCTGTACATACGGCATTGGCGACGACTTGCGAAGCCGATTCGTCAGCAAAGACAAGTGAGGCTGACTTTTGTGTTTCGTGCTCAAGGGAATCGACCTTTGAGCATGCTGAAACACTTCCAGGCGACTGTCCAAAGAACTCAATAGATTCTGCGAGCCAAGCATCACATCGAGCTCGGATTCGCCGAAGTCCTTTACTTCCTATGTCCGCATCCTCAAAAACCCAATCTTCCATTTCCGTTTGGTGCTGCTTGAATGCCCCACATACCGAATCGAACGCGAAAATAGCCGGTGTTTTCCGATAGTGCGCAAATTCAGTGTCATTTACTTCTTCTCCAGAGGATGGATGTTCGGAAGGAAGGTCGCCGACGTAGTGGACGACAGGGGCGTCTGTTGTTGATTCTAACTGAGAAGGTCCCACTGGTGACGACGAGGGACACTGACTATCCACAGGGACTCGGCTCGCCTGGGATAAGTAATTCCACCTGCTGTCAATCGAGGGACTTGAATCTACGAGCTAGAGAAAAATTGGCATAAAAATTCGGAGACTATTATTTTTATGGTAACACATAGTATCAAAAGTCTGTTAATACTTATGCCTTTAAGCAAACATAAACGGATTTATTTGGACTTGAAACAATTGACTTGTGTTCACTATTATGGGAGCAAGGAAACAATGGCAGCAAACCACTACCTGCTAATTTAAAAAAGCCGATAAAAATGATTTTCTTGTGGAGCAATGACTGTGTTGGCTAATCATAATCGATAATTTGGATATGCTATCAAAAAATCTTACTTCGACTTCGGTTGTATTCTGAGCAGCAAGAAGCTGGGCATTTTTTTCAAGTCTTTTAGCCGAAAGTCGTAAACGCGGAGCACGATCAGTAATTGGAAGGTACTTAACAAAGTGCCGAACTGAGCAGACAGACCGCAGAAAATAAAACTAAAAATGAGAATAAAATGTCGTAGCGATCTTGGGCTTCAACCCAAAAGACAGTAATGTTTGTAACCCACGAGACAAATAAATCCGGTACTAATGTCAGTTCTGAGGCAATACGCTTAGTCATTAAATAAATTCAATTCTTAGATGTAACGGTTGATGGACTCAAGGGGCAAACAAAGTAAATGACAGGACTTGAAAACAAAACAAAAATCCAAGTCAGCTTTGTTGCAGTGAGGAAGTCTACACACAATAAATTGACTTACAATTTGTGCCAAAGTAATTGGGATTATAGTTCCAGTTAATTTTGTGAGCATTTTAATGGCTCCAAACTATAATGCAACCAACCGGAAACCACAATAAGACCAAAGCTTCTCGAACTGACAGCTTGGAAGTGCCGCCATGAGCACCTCATTACAATTTGAGGAAATTAAAACGGTGTTCAAGTATAAATTTTAATTGACTTAACTGACCCAGACACAATAATTTTGTGCTAATTTATTTGAAAATCAGTGCGCAAGGTCAATTTTTATGTTATTATTGGAATTTTTAATCTGTTTCTCTCTAGATGCGATTAATTGAAGACTTGTCAAATATGCACGAGAAGTTTTATGGCTATGCCATAATGTAATGAATATCATTACAACTTGATACCTGTCTGCTTCAACGCATCTGGTTTGCATGCATAAGTCAGTGTAATAAGTCCACATAAATATTGCATAACTAAATCTGTTTTCACGCAAATTTTATTTGCAAATGTGTTAAGTTCATCATCTCGATCTGCAATTTTTGGAAAACCATCAGTATGCTAGTGATAGCTGTAATGATTGCTGCGCATATATTGCAATGTGTACATAATCTATTTAGCACATGTAATGTTGTTATTTTACGGATTTTAAGCATAACATGGAAGCATTCCAATTAAGTCATGATTTCAATTTCAGCTGGATGAAATATGACCAGGGTCATCTTAGCAAGCAGGGTTCTAAGGCCTAAAATTTATCCCTATATATCCAACTGGCATTCCTCAAAATGTTTTTCCTTACCATTTCCTTCCTCGTCTTTCTGGTGGGTTAATAAACTATGCACGGCACACGAGCACACAATTAATGACCTTCGCGCACATATAGTCAGTTAACTTTATGCTTCTTGTATTCGTGTTACCATCCACTGATGTCTTTTTACTTATTTTGATATTGGGAGTGCATAAATTATATGATTATGGTTCTTGTGTCACGTGACAGATTTCGGCAGCTTGAATGTTTGTTACTCCTGAATGAAAGCCTGGCTGTGGTTGCCCTGACTGTCCTCCGGCCCTATCGCACTTTGCAGGATTATGGTACTTACTGCTACCGACTTTATTTTGAATTTCGATCATGGTAGCCATGATTTTTTATCTCCTCCAGTTGAAACGCAATCATGCATAAGTTCCATTCTAAACTTCACGTAGCTGTTCTTTCTTTTCTCTCAACGGTATGCCAAATCCTAATTTCGATCACTAAACTTTTCATTCTAAGTGTGGCATGGGCTATAATTGGTGCAGAGCATTAGGGTTTACATGGGCTGCCATGTTTTTTTCTTAGCAATCGCGAATTACCGTGAATCACTTTATGCTAAGTTGCAGTATTACTTCGATTTGAATAAGGACAATTTGCAATTGGTCTTAACAGGCATGGATCCGATCCCCGCCCTGAAGGTCCCTAATGCACTCTACATTTATGAAAAAACTGGGCTACTTTTGATCAAATATGGACTATTTCATTTCACAACAAATTGTTTGATCATTTGTCAATTATTTACGTTTGCAGACGGATTTGCGTTGCATGTGAATACACTCCCTGAGTGGTGAGGACTTACGGCGTGTACGATGTGAAAAGGGCTATGGGAAGATTATTTTGCCTAAGCAACGCATTTTGTCACTCGTAATGCGTCAATTAGCTGAGTATAAAATTGTGCCAGTGTCACCTTTATTTCATTTTACCAATAAAAATTGCCTTTCAATCACTCCACTGACGCCAATCATGTCATCTAAATTCACTCAAGTTAATTCAATGGTGTGTTTTAGGAATCCATCATATTGCACTTGAAGTTATTTACCTACTCCATAATCTCTACCAAGTTTGACAACTTCGCTGTGGTTTGTGAAAATTCCATTGCCTAATTGTAGCCACAGCAAGAACATTTTCCGTCTTCCGCCTAAACTGTGTTCAGCTACTTCGTTAACTGGGGTATAGATGGTGTCGTTAATATATTCTAAGAATAAGTTGTTATAATCTAAGTGAATCTGGGAGATCGTAAATATGTTCAATCGCTTTACGTTCTACGCATACAAACTAATTGTAAACAGACAGTTTGACTTTCAGTATAATCAGTTGATGAAACACTGATGTCAAATCTCTTTAAAGTAAGTTAACTTCGCGTTCCCATCATGCATCACACGATGAGGCTTTTTGGAATATCGACATAAATCAATGCTACCCATCCGTTCTCTGGACTTTGTTTAAATCAAGCAAGGAACCATTAGTATCAAATTATCTGACTCACAGGCTGAATCGCAATAAGTTTAACATTGGGAATCCGAAGTCGTAGTTAACTTTGCCCACATAGTCAATACTGTAGGGATCTTATCAAATTAGCTGCTCAAATCGTGTGCAGAGAAGAATACTACGCACACTAGTTAATTTATTTTATTGAAGATTTTATGATTGGTTGTTATGTGATGACTATAAGAGGCCTTAACTCTTAATTAAACCTGAAAAGTGTCAGACAAATGAATAATTAAGGCATTCATTATGCCTAAATCGGGTTCTCGAAGTTGCAATGTCATGTAATGCAATTCTGAAGTGGCTGTCAGTTGTGATGCAGAAGGTGTTTCAGCAGACGGTAAACTCCAGTGAATCCCACTGATACAGTTGTACATTCCTCGGTGTGTAAATGCACCGCCACCGCTACCACCCCTTCTACTACTACTACTAATACTACGTACTTAACCCCATTGGCACTTTTGTCGACGTTTGCACTTTTAGCGCGTCTTTACATGCGCAGTTGTCGTCGAAGTGTTCTTTTCGTCGTTTTCTTTCTTAATTAATGCCGTACTTTCTTAGCGATTAGCTGTGTAACATGCCGTTGAATTCAAAGTGTTTCCTTTAAATGGTGTTTTAGACCAGTGGGCAATTAAAGGGAGTTAGATGGAGTCCCTTGGTTTTCCAAGCACGCTCAATTAAGGCACGACATGTGGACAATGCACCAACCACACCTCTATGTCTATTTGTTGTTGAGTCCGGTCTCCAGACAATTCGCCATGGTGTTTGGCCTCTTATCCAATTGGTTGAACCCAAATCTAGAAATATCGCGCTGTCAAAAATACTCAATTCCAATTTAGTCCCGTCTATGAATCCGGTTGACTTGATGGATGTTTCCGTAACATCAATAGATATCTCGTTGACGGAGGTATCTATTGAGCCCTCTCTATTCATTTTCGTTTTCCACGCCACTCTTTTCAGAGTTAGAACTTTTCGTTACCGCATTTTCAATCTGTTTTCTGATTTACCTGCGTCGACCGCCACAATAACGAGTTTTCGTGGTGAGCACTTAATTTAACTACCGTGAAGTTGTTTGATATTCCAGTTGTTTCCTACCTTGAAGAACAAGTTATGCAACCCGAACACCGCTAATTTTATCCCCAAGCATGATTTTATCTCGTTTTTTAACATTTAGGAATTTTAGGCCTTGTGAGATGACGTTTTTATTAATTAGTGTTCCATATCTTCATCACTTGAAATGATTTAACCAAAGTTACGCTGTAATTGGAATGGATTTTTTGCACTCACACTCAAATTGCGTGGAGATGGAACGGTTCGTTTTTGTGGAAGTATTCGACAGATTAGAGTACAAGTAATCATTTCCACTAAGGAAATGATTCCTGCTAGTGTTAACGACCAATCAGTGCAACCGAGAGTTTTCCGCACGTGCGTCTCATTGGTTGAGAGGTGGGTGTGGGTAGCTCACGCGCGTTAATATCGCAACGCCTTCTAAGACGGTTAACGTGAACACACAGGTTTATTTTTTAAACCGACGTGAACGGGAAAAAGTAGTTTGGGTTGTGTATGCATTTCGCCAGTTGGTAACTGAAAGGTTGAATTGGCGAGCCCAAACACTGCAAAAATCAATAATTTGTAAAAAGAAGACGTGGCAGATTATAGACTAATTGATACAGAAATCACTGCTTAAGCTAAGTAATTAATTTGATGGCGATACCTGAAGCAACCATTGGTGCAGTTTATCCAGTCGTAATCCGAACATTTTAAATGGGGTCTTAATTAGTGGTTTCGACTTACTCACTTCGGGTAGACGCCTTGGTCTCGATCAGTTATTGATCGTGAGCATAGGTAAAAACGAGAACATCAAACGGACAGTTGTCCAAGCGGTCCCTTTACTAACCTACTTTCTTCAGATATAAGCTCTCTGGCTCCTCCAGTGGAAATCGGACAGACGTGACGTGGTTGCATCATGTATTGGTAAAAAACATGCTTTCTTGGACTCTTCGCATGGCTTTTTTTGAAATCTCTGATTATTTTTGCACTCTTCAAGCGAAAATGCGCTTCGGTTGGAACGCATCTCCGTTGTCTCAGTAATTGAATCGGTTGCAGTCCGACCTAGGTGTGAAACAATTCAAAGTGCGCGCTCATGTGAGCGTGTTGAATGTGTACGGATAGACACATGCACGCACACACGCTTGCACGTGCGCACGCACGCACCTGCGCAGAAGCAACAAGTACAGCCCCCTCACCGCTTCACGCTTCACCGCATTTTACACAATCTCGCTTTCTTGACGGACACCCAGTAAGTCACCGCCGTGCTTAAAAAAAGGGTGGCCCAGTGCGTGGACACCATCCTGCAACAAAATTCTCCTTAATCTTCTTTATTTACTCTTGTTCTTTCAGCTCCATGGAACTGACACCGCAGACGGCAGCACTTCCACCTGGACTATCCAACGGAGCAGCACATTCCAATGTCTTCTCGTCGCCTGACTGCGCTCTGCTCCGGCTAATAGAACAGCATCCGTTGGTGGTGAGGGAGATCCTTAGTGTCGCAACGCTGACCTTGAGAGCAACTGGCGGTCTCCCATTGGCCGCGGCAATAAATGGTCTATCGACTGCCGAGCAGCAATCCCCAAGTGAGTTACCCACGTTGCGTGCTCTTTCTTTAGTCTAACTATACCTCCCCAGTTATCTTGCACGTTAATTGTGTCACTTCATAAGTGAACGTTTTTAAACCATTGCAGGATCTGCGCGTGAATTAGGTTTATTGATTTTTAATTGGATTTGATTTACCCGGTATACACTGGGTTCAGATTAACAAGATTACAATGGTTCTGCATATGGTATCCTCAGTCGACACAGAAACTTCACAGCCTTGATACGCAGGCAATCAGAAACAGCGAATTGAATGTCTTCGTTGGAACAAAGTCTAGTAAGAACTTGTGTTAGCTGGACTTGAAGCAGATTGTAAGCCAACCAATCACAACTCAGTGTGAAGGCTTAGAACAATATGGCCCACAGTACGACGGTGATTAAAGCAACTGGACAGGACACACAGACGTGGAATGGGGTTCACCAATCAGCATTCGGCATGAGATCATCTGTTGCGCACTTTTGTTCAGCTTAAAAAGAGATCGGCGTCCCCAATAAATTTCGATCGGTGGTGAGAAAGTGCATTGGCCCCGGTAGCACACACAGTCGTGGATATTACCCACGCAGAAAGCTGATTTTCACCACAGCGAGTCCTGGTATTACCAGTGTAGTTGGATTCTTAGACTCCCAAGCATGAAGACACATTTTTACTCATATTGATAGACAGAGCATTGCTTTGCTGCTCTCCATATTTAAAATCCAAGGATTTAGGTGGGAATGTTCCACCGCATTCTCGTCCAACTACTCTCTTTTTGAATAAGTGGGCTATTTTATCCTTCGAAAGAATAGAATCCAATTTATTAGACAAAGCCGATGTTGTGTAAACGAATGTTAAAGTTCGTTGAATCTCGAAGTCGATTGTGAATGCCCAAGTTCGATCATTAGCCTCAAATCAAAGCCACAATATCGATTTGCTCTAGAACAAGATCGTCGTGACCTTCCGTGGTTTATGCCGATCTCTTGTCGACATAGACTTGCTCAATAAAAATTCAAGAATTCCGCGTGCCCTTTGCAGTTTGTCTGCTGTGCCGTGAATTTTCCAAGGCGTTGATAAACTTCTTCCATACAAATAGGGTCACTGCAGATTACCGCCCAGTTAGTGCAAAGATCGGAATGTGCCTAGTTCATCAGAAGGCCGTAACGCATGATGAGGAACGGCATGAAAGTAGACGGCTAAACACGCAAGAGCTTTCAAAAGATGGACTTCTCCAGTGACCAGGGCTCAAACAATTTTTCCTACGGAACTTTAGACACGTAGGGTCTGGTTGCGTGTCGTTGTGTTAGCAGAAGCGTGTTATCTCGCCTGAAAAGAGTACGCTAATTTATGAGTGGACTGTTAAAGGCTCGAACAGGTCATTTCTACTTGATTTTGGAGTAAGTGTCCGAAAGAATAGGATTGTTCTAGTCTCCTCGGCTCAGCTTCTTTTATTGAAACTTGAAAATGCTTCTCGCAGAATTGTTGTTTTAATTTGTTTTGAGATATAGTCTTCTTTGGGCTGGTGTCATGCACAATGGCATACCACAGACGCGGTAATACCTTGCACTAGTTTGATGCTACGAAAAAGCTTGGTTCAAATGTTGTGATGCTTGCACCGTGATTCACAAGTAACTGTTCTCTTTTCTGACTGAATAAATGTCCTGACACGCCTAAATTTGGAAACCTACCACAATGTCTCCACGCGGAGAAAATAAGCTTGATTTTGAGTGGATGCAACTGTCTGTCACTAATCTACTATGACTGTCATGGCATGAATTTGAATGTCCACACGTGCTTCGTGAGTTTGCGCACTAGCATTGGCATGTTTGTATGCAGACCACCAGACCTGCCAGAGTGTGATTGGTGCAAATGGCGTGCATGAACAAAAGTGATTTATACGTCATATCTACGCGGAGTTATCGCGGACACGTTTGACCCCTTTTTCTTGCCCCTCTACTCCAGGTGAGCTGCGATCTGCGCCACAGTCGCAACTCCAGGCCCCAGGGCTTCCAGTTACTCCACTTCTCGATCGTCAGTCACCCCCAGATCGGCAAAATCCACCAATGAAATTGCTCCCTCCGGAACCAGTGAATCCGATGGTTCAGGCAACAGCTGGGGCCTTGCAGCCCGCTTCACACAGTTCTTTTCCAATTGAAAAATTTCAGGTTTGTTTCAATGCTTTCACAGATTCACGCGTGTGTTTGTCTTTGACCTGTTGCTACTTTGCAATCCTTCTGCCACCCTTGGAACGTGTAAAATTGAACAAGAGTCCTTTCGTAGATGCTAATGCAACCAACAACAATTGCTTAATGTGTTTGAGTGCACCAGCACTTAATGAGACGTCTGAATGAAGACACAGAAAATCCAGCTAGATGGCACGTTATTTGGTAAATAAAACCAATAAAACAACTTGTCACGCCAACAGGTGCAGCAAAATGCTACGAGTCGAGCAGGTGCCTGTCTCTCTCTGTCAACTGACGGCTTCACGCGAGACAGTCAATTTAATGAATAAGGTCATGATTCTGACCGGTTTCGAAGTTCTGTGGATATTCATTTCGATCTTGTGATTTGAACCGGTTGCAGCATGACCACCTCCAACTCAGTTGGGGCCACCTGGGGAACCATCAATCGGTGTCAAAGTTTAGTGGGTAGCTTGTGTACCAGTAACCGAATTCACTTAAGCGAGGGAACTCACCTGCGTTTCATCCAATTGGAAAACACACCCAGTTCGCTTCGATATTAAATAACGAAAGAACCGTGGTTTTACAATATCCTCCATCTAACATTTAATCGAAATACTCGGTGCGATTACTGCCGAGCATTGAATTTTGAAATTTTATGCTCAAATTTCTGATGCGGTGTTTTTTGTCGATAGTTCGAGTGATTTGATGCGTAAACGACAAAATGAAAAAAAACGAAGCAGTGATGGGATTTGAACAAGCAATGTGCTCGCTCACTTGCCAAGTGGCTCTAGTCATTGGTGTGTAAGTAGCGCGTTGAACCTTGCCATCGATTTACTCAGAAAACATGATCCGTTTGGAGATCTGAGACTCACCAAAGCTCTTTTGTGACAAGATTTTGGATGGAACAGAAGTAACGTTGCAAAAATTGATAGTATGCCACCCTGAAACTACAAATATCTAACCCTACGACAACACTATGAGCTCACGTTTTAATATATCTTCTATCTATAGAAGGTGCTTGTGTGGCTTCGTTCTTTACTTGCTAATGTCAACCAGACGCCTGAGAACAAGTAGGCTATCATCGAAATGAACGCGCGACTAATGAGATTTACGAGATTTTTTTCAAGTTTGAATGACACCGAAGACCATACCCGAAGAAGTTAGCTGTCACCACGTCATGCCTAGAGGCGGCGGATAAGCCGAAATTCTCACCGCGTTAAACACCTGTGACTACCGCCGACATTCCTGTGAGTTGTCTGTTAAAACACCTGGCTTGTCGAGCACAGCGCCCGTGTTGTGATGTCAACTGGAGAGACACGCAGAGGTAGAGAGCAAAACACCCGTGCTTCGTGTTTCTCATGGCTCGCTTTACAAGTGGCGGCAAGCCCTATGCTGTGTGACAAGGCTCAGATGTTCGCGCGTTCGTGTGCCGGAGACGAGATCGAGGCAGTCAAGAGTTTACTGCAGGCATTGTTTCGCTTAAAAACGCTGTTTCTTCCCTCTTCAGTGAGCGTTTCTCTCATTGATTTTTAGGTACAATCTTTTCAAGAGCTATACAAGACGAACGATCACATGCAGGTACGCCCTATCAACAACGCCGGCAAAACCAAGTAAGGCTCTCTCAACCTATGACGATGTAAAGTTTTTGAGTTGTGCTGGCTAGCACCTGTTCATTCCTCTTCTTTGCTAACATCCGTTAAACATGTTATAAGAAGACGACATGATCAATGTGTAATGCGCGATTCCTGGCACCCACTGATGAGAACAAAAAATGATGAGAAAATCCTGTACAAGTTGGATGTCGAGATGCTCACTTGTTTCGCTGCAAACGTATTCCCCACAAACTTTAGACAATTGAATAAGTAATCAGGTAGCCAGATAATTCTTTCGTGAATGTGACCTTGTTGATTGAAAATGTGTTGTTCAAATTCGTTGGCTATTGGTGACAACCCCGTGGCCTAACGTTTATTTCGAGTTCGAAATTCGGGTAAATTGATGAATGAGTAAATTTTGCATTTGCGGAAGAACAAAATGCACATACTACTTATTTAACTATCTCCGGCCTAGAGAGGACGAAGTTCCGGTTAAAAAGAAGGCGGCGACCCGTGAAACAACGTGTTTCCTCAAGAACTGGCTCTACGAACACCGAAAGAACCCCTATCCCACGAAGGAGGAGAAGGTGATGCTGGCAGCGGTGACGCGCATGAACCTCACGCAGGTCTCCACGTGGTTCGCGAACGCCCGACGTCGGTTGAAGAAGGAGAATCGATTGACTTGGTGTGCCAAAAATCGCATAATCACCCCGCCGCCCCTGCAGTCCACTTCGTACTGGACGGAGACGTCCGCGGGCTCTCCACGGTCTGAGGACTCGAGTATCGCGCATTCGCTGGCCTCGCAGGTGCAGTCCGCGTTGTGGACCCACGTAGTCAAGGATATCAAGGCAAGAATGTGCGTGGAACCGACGTATTCCCATCAAATTTCCACCTCTTCTCCTTCCCCACCTCCTCCTGCCCCACAGGCAGCGAAGATCTGGTCTCTCGCGGAGTTGGTCAAAGAGCCGCCAACCAATCACCCGTCGACCAGTCTTTTCAATGCATCTGGGGAATAAGAAGACGATCCGTGTCGTGGTTTTGCTTTACTAACTATGTCATGTTGAAAATCCCGCCTCTCCTTAATGGCACGTATCCATTCACCCGTTTTTTGTGGTGCTAACAAGCTTTGAAGGTCATCTCCCAAAGATCCTGGCACAAATCCACCTTACAACCGTCGTCCTTATTCTCGTGTGAGTGTTGACGTTTAGGTATCTGGTTCTATCGCATTTTGCGCATCAGAGAATTAAAAATCTTATTTGGTCCTGTTGGGTTCTGACCTTGGGTTTAAACCAGGTCCAAAGATCGTTGACATCACCCACTAAATTAAAACAACGTAATCGGTAGTTACACCTGTGATGGAGTTTTCTATGGTCTTGGCGGAGTATAACAGCCTAGTGGCTAGGCTCTTTCGATCAAAAAGTCGCCTTACACCCCCCCCAACTCTCTTAAGCGGTTAGTCTCGCGGCCATTGGCCAATCTGGATCTTCAATTCACTACAATGGTTGGTCACTGAGTTGGTGGGTTTGGTTCATTACGCTATGCTTCGAGTACCCGCTTGTCAAAAATGCCATTATTCATTTTGCTCCCTGTCTACATGTCTGGACGACCGTTTTGTAAAGCATGAGTTGTTGTAGAAGTTTGATTGGGCATGATATCACTCCCATGACACCAGTCAGGGAAGACGACGTAGAAGACAGGAGGCGTCGGAAACGATCACTCAGGCTTGTTGCCGTGGTGGCTGATTGAACACCGGCGTGTGTACCTATCAGTCAGTTGCACACGGAGAGGAGATGTGTAAACACGACCACATGTTAAACGTGTTCATCCAAACAATGGGAAGATGCTGGGCGGGGGGAGGTGAGGGAACAGACACACCGGTTATTGGAAGGCGGTGAATTATCAAGGCGTCTGGACATGTGTTGACAGGACTGATGGACATGAATCAGCAGGATTTACCACGCATTCAGGTACTAGTAGCCAAGCCAGGTATACTATGGGTTAGCCTTCTGCGTAGAACGACAGAGCGTAAAAACGGCGTGCATTATTTTCCCACGAATGAAGTCCTGAAATGCTTGCGCGCGCATACATGTTAATTTAACAAGCGCGACAGGCATGGAAAAAGTTAACTACACCGATTTTTTGTGACAACAAAGAAATGTCATCACGCAGATGTGCGAGGTATGTGTGCGTGTGTATATGTGTGTGTGTGATGAAGGCAGAATATCGCACCCTACATCGGTGTTGTGAAGGTTGTGGTAGGCAACTAGGCGTCATTGTTGAGACTTTTGTCCAAACGGATAACACCGCTTTCATAGCGAAGTTCTGGCTGTCCATGTGTCCAGTTGCGGCTAATTCGTCCACCTTCAAGAAGTTGACATCCGATTGTTCGCGAACAATTCAAATCGATAAGACTTCTATTGGCGTTTCTGACCTAAGCTCTTCTCTCAGCTTGAAATCAGTTTAAATTTAACATCGAACGAAACTACCACAGGATTCTCTTTTGCCGTTATTTACTTACGATTTGTCCAATTAAAACGCAATTAGTGTCTCAGTTGGAGGATTGAGTCGATATTTAAACCTCAACAGGGATGATTTCAAGGTCAATACTTCCTCCAGATCTGATTGGATGCGAACTCGCACGTTTGATTATGGCTGTCGGCAAGGCTTAAAGTTTCTCCTAATTAAGTACACTTTTAATTTTCGAAAACTGATTTAAAAAGCTTTTTCATTCCATACTATTTGAGATTTTAAGTACCTAGAACTGTACGGGCCTTTGCCAATTCTATGAGTCAAGAAACTCCGTCCTACACAAAGTACACATTCCGATGTCCTTAAATCCCTTAAAAATAAGTTTTTTGCCAAATAAATTTCTAAACCTACATGATTTGAAATGGTCCTGGTCAAGGGTTGCTGCATCGATTGTGTCACACGATGTTCCAACACCACTTTAATCTTGGTGGCTCGGTCCATGAACTGTCAGAAGCCAACCACACCCTACATTGTGCGGTTCAATTGGCCACTTTAACCCAGATGCACAATTCGCAATCTGTAGACTTCGGTTACTTTAAAGTTTCAGCTGTTATTCTCTAACCAGCAGGCTTTCGAATCTTCCAACAAATTCCCTATTTCAATCCTGCATATTGTTGACTGCGTTTTATTGCTAGCATCTAATTCGCTTCGCCTTCCAAATTGATTAAGACTGAAGAACATGTCATTCTCTGGATTCTGCCATCCAATTCTGGTGCCGTTGGCATCACCCCTAGCCAAATGTCAACAATAAACTCCACATACGTCGCGACCTTTTGTGCTTGTTTGTCAATGTGGCACGTGGACTTTTGTGGCAACGCCTGCTAGCGTGCTTGATCTGTCAAGTCGAAATACCCTGGTAGTGACTATGTTATCAGACTTTATGGCAACCAGTGCTTTTCAGGCAATGTAAACAGCAACTGATGTGGTGTTTGCAGATGCAGTCAAGACTCATGCGTGTTGTCAGTCATGCCAGATTAAAAAATCCAGATTCCCGATCTAATCTACAACAAGCTTTTTAAAACGAATGAATAAAATACATTCATAAGGTACACGATTAAATTATGGTTGTAGTGCTGTGCTAGACAACGTGAAAGACATCAGTAAAACAGCACCCTCAAGGTCAAGATTTCTTCGAGTTCGATGGGACGCTATTTATCTTGTTCAATAAACCCTGTCTCAAAGCCCATTCCTTTATGACTTTGTTTATTATCAGGATCAAATGTATACAATTGACCTGAATTTATCGGAAAAGATGGCTCCCTAATGCTAACCACAGTGCATATATTTTGGCCAAGCTCCACAAGAAGCCTCAAAGCAATTGTCAGGAAACCGTGTTTGATAATTGCTAGCGCACTGACATCTTGCAATGGAAGACTTCACACATCCACTGAGCAGACCACCATTTGCTGTCACAAGTTTCATGAAAACGCCCAGAGAAGACTTAATTGACTGTCATTTATTGCATAGAATGCGAAAGTAAGTTGCACATACATCAAGAGTGAATAAAACATACGTCATGTAGGAGTTTAACTAACGCCTAGTATTTTCATTTAAAACCATCGTTGCTGTCATTGGTTGATGAGACCTAGTCATAAAAACGCAGCTAATTATCTTCGACAACTGTCAGGAATCAATAATGCTATTGCGTGGCTATTTCTGTTAACACAGAGACAGGACCTAAATTACTTGAGAGAGTGCATGAGGCTATTTATGGGCATGAATTAGTATTGTGGATATCTTTAAAGTAACAAAAATAGTTTAGTGTGAAAATTTGCACCAATTGGAAGTCGTGCGCATTTGAATGGAAAAAATCACCGAAATGAGAGGAGAATTCAATTATTTTACGAAAATATGCAAAAATGTTTCCTGTGGAGTGAAATAATTTACAAATAAGGCCGCTGTAAGATAAAAATGGACATCCTCATGGAACATCAGGACCCAATAAATCTTACGGGTATTTATTTTAGTGTCCTCTACTGCAGACAAATCCGAAGGGATAGAAACCAGTTGAGAACTTTAAGACCCCAAGCACAGCTTTCTTTTTGAACTTTGTTTGGCATCTTCTCAGAAGGCAAATTTTTCGTGGAGACGAGAACCAAGCACATTCAAAACCCGAATTTTTCTGCGTATCTGAATTTCGCACTGAACCAAATAGCAGTTTGCTTGATTTTTGGCCTTTTTCAGGAAATATGTCTGGAGGAAAAACACTAAATAAACTACAATCATGTCTTGGATGGACAGTTCTCATCAACGAACCAATGAAGTGGCGTCAAAACTGTTTGATGTGTCCCGTTACAGGGGCATTTAGGACATTTCCATTGGGGACCAATTTAAAGGAAACAACATATCAATTTACTCGGTAAAACGCAAATATGGACTGCATTTCGAAGCAAATTTTGCTGTGTGTATTTATGGACAATAATTCGAATATATTCGATAAATCTGGAAACCAATTAGAATCTGGAAATTCGGCAGACTTGTTTGAAACTTGTTCCGTCCTTCTTGGAATAATTAATATCCGTTTTCAGGTGAGATCTTCCCGCAGATGGTTGAGCTGAAGGTCTCTGAACATTTTTAAAGCATTTATTTGAGAGAATAAGTAAGTTTGTTTTAACTGAACAATGCAATTTACACCGACTTTAAAATAATGCATGGATCCATAGAAACAATGCCTACGACACACACTTAGTTAAGCTAATTAATCAATAAACCGATTAAAACAACGCGCCCTCAATTGTTAAGTTTTCTAAAACCGACATAGTTTGACGTGGAAAATGCTTTTTTGTGAATAAAGTGCACGTCTTTGTTAGAATCGACCAAATCCACACGCACAAATGTGCACAGATTTAAAACAAGATCTCTTGAATTTGAGTTTATTTTCGTTTGAGTTTGAGGAAATGATTAGGAAAATTGAACAAACTAGAGGGGATGTTGCGTATTTACATCACAAAGTTAACAGACGCAGTTAAAATAACACAATACCGCCTAGCTGTCCTATTTTCGACTATATTCCTTAACAGCAATCAGCCTTGGCTTCTACGAAATTGTCTTCCTCTTCTTTCTTCCACCGATTTACAAATTTTCTGATCGTTGCCAAGGTGTCCATCACATCACCAGCACTTACAAATCATCTCATTGCTCCATACCTTTTGACTCTGGTATGAAGACCAATTTCAGCGGTACACACGCTGCCATCTTTTGAACCCTGAAAATTGACTCCAGGGGGCAAAAGTGGTTGTCTGGTGACAATTCACTTTGCCAGATTAACCTTCATCTCGTTTGACGTGCATGTTAAATCAAAAATGCTCTTGAGTGGCCCCTATCAAGGCTTCTAAAATTGGCAACGCCCTTCTGTGCTCATTGTCTGACTCCTTTAGACACCTTTTTTTAACGTGTTGATTTCTAGGACACCCAAACCGACGGCATACTTGCCGTTGTTTTACTGCATTTGCTCGCTAGTTGAGCGCCGTTTTTGAACTTGGACAATAGCCTGTGTGGAACTACTTCATTAGGCAACATTTAAGAGCTTATTGTCTACATATGTGTGGTAATAAACGTTTTCTTTTAGGATAATTCGCATGCGTTTCCATTGCGTTTTGAAGTTTGCGCGAAGGTATCAATCTTCGTATTTTTTAGCAGGAGTATGAACTGCGACAGTGCATGGAGAATGCTCCATTCTCTATGGGTCAGAGATGAAGTCAAATTTCGTTCGGTTACGACGTCACAGATAGACAACTGAACACGCACCTTTATATTCTTTTTGCATTCAATGCGTTTCTGCATCGCCTCAGCCTCATCTTAACCTCACCACTACTGATGGTTTGAAATGAGTAGTAGTATCTAATCATCGCCTTAATTAAGACGTATAGGAATGATCCACCTCGAGTCAAAAAACGTCTTTTTCCCTTACAAGGCTGTTCTCTTGGGGTAATGAAAGGTCCATGGAGCCATGGTGCGGAGTCCATGGATGTAAGCGATAGGGCAGGCTAAGATGGCACACCAGGATGCATTTTATTTCACCAACTCGAAGGTTTGGCGGACTTAAACGTCTTCCACTCCACAATTAATCAGAGTTGTCTGATGCGCTTCTTTTGCGGTGCCGCTAGAGCAATTGCCCTAACCGCAAAATCCCATTTTATGCAACGAGTGGGGGTAAACACACCAATTAAATGTGCAAACTCGTGTCTCCGCAACTACTTGTGTGTGAACGCTAGCACGAGCATGTGTTCATTTGCCTAATTGAAGTCAAGCGGGCGGATAACGCGTGTGCCCGGAGGGTGTGCGGGTGGGGGAGGGGAGGGGGAAGTGACCACACGGACACTCCCCCACCCCAACAGCCCGCGTTGACTACTTCTCACACTTGTGCAACACACACGAAAGCTCAGCGTCTGTTGTGTCAGGGCCGTTAAAGTTGTCAGCGTGTATTTGTGGGAATGGCAGCACCCATGGGATGAGAATTGTTCGGGATACTGCTGCGTGGGGGGGGATGGTGGTTGTGTTGACTGGTTGGGTTGTGGGGGGGGTGACGCAGTACCCTTCCCTAATCGAGATTGCTCTCGTGCAAGCGCGCTCAGGTACACACAGGTAGCTTGTCAAACAAGCTCTGCCTCAACTGCGAAGTGATAAATGGAGGCATTTTATTGCGCGAATCGCTGTGAAACGGCTTTCACTGGAAAAAAACAACGGTACCTGCTGGAGACAGCACACACACTTGCTTTCGTTAAATCGCTGTTAATCACACAATACAGGCGATCTGTTGCGATTAATCTTGTTCTTCAAATGTCTTTGCCAAGGGCCCAATAAACGCTAATTTTTGTACGTCGACTTTCCACAAACAAACGTCTAGTTCGTGCTTTCCGTGAAAGGGTAACAGTTAACATGTTATTTTTGTTTTAATCATCTGGTTTGGAAATATGTAACGGTTATTCGCGGATCTACTACGCGCAGGGAATTTAACTAAGCTTCAGTTTTTGCATGCTTGTACTTGATATCGCCTCATTGGCTCTGGCCGCAAACTTGGTCAGTTGTTTATTTAGCAATCCTTCTTGTTTAACTGGTCTATCTCGATGGCCTGGCGGAAGGTTTGAATTGGCGACCAATCAGCGAACTGTGTTCTGTGGGAAATTCACTCAGATTACGCCATCTTACTTTATAACAGAATTTGGAACAGTGAAATCACCAGTTGCTGCTTTTATCGGCAGATTTGACGAAACGGCCAATCACAGTGTGAGAAAATTGACATTCTCAGACAAGTTATGGGCTGGCTGACACTTGTACAAATACCTGCATTCATTCCTTACTTCTATAACTGTGTACTTTTTCCGGATATAGTTGAAGAATATTTTGGTTATAAATGCTGTTCTCGCAGACGGTTGCCAGGGCACAGAATCGACAATTGGCCCAATAAATCTCGGTTGGGAATTACCTGTGTCGTTTTCGTATTCCCTTGCACACGTTTGCCAATGGATGGTTCGTGTTTTGGAATTAAAGTGGGAGGTAGCGTGTCCACGCGATGTGAAGATGGTAACTCCAGTTGGTTGCAGCACCCAAGACTGAGAAGACATCGGTTGGCAGATTTGATGAACCCTACTCGACAACTTCACGCTGTTTCGAAGTCTTTTAGCCATCTTTGGATTCTATTAGGGCTACACAGGCCTCATTACCACGGAACCGAAGTGCACCATCTGCCTTTTCGTGAAAATCTAAATACAAGACTGGGTGTTATAATTTTCTGACTCATCACTGGTTTTACTGATCTAGTGCAATCACCCGGCAGACGATTTGAACTACTGACCAATCAGCAAGAGGATTTCTGTGGCAGATTTATTTGGGTGCCACCATTTTATCCTAATAGCGACGTCTTCAATCAGACGACAGAAAATCAGGTTATGGAGCAATCGGCAAATAAATAGAGGCTCAAACTGATACCCTGAGTAATTGGACGCTCAGGTGTCTTAAAAATCGGTTAGTATTGCTCATGGAAAAACCAAACCAGGCGAACTGTTTTCAAAGGAGACGGCTGCCAAAAATCACAGCATACACTTATCATAAAAGCTGTGAGCAGGAATTTCAAATACGATCAGATTGACATTCTTGCGATTAAAAGCGTTTGCTACTGAAACATAAACAGTAGATACAAATCTTGAATGTATTTAACCAGGAATTTTAAGCTGCGTTCAGCAAAAGTAGACGGTGTCAATTGATGGTATAAGGAACTACGTGTCTCGAAATGGTACTTTCACCAAAAAATGACATTATCGATTGCATACAAGCTGCAGCAAATAACACAATCAACTCTGTTATGTTTTAAACATTTTCGAGAATTCTATAAATCAAGTGGTCGTCTGCGGGCTGGTTAGTTACCATGGTAACCAAATGGATTAACTTGCATAAAACTAAGGCAGTTTGACATGATCTCGGAGGTTCCCACAACGTTTAAGCACAATTCAGCGGAACATTTGAGGGTTAAGATTAAGGCGCCTTGTAGAGAAAATCTTAAGCAGGCGGAACAAATTTTGTTTAACCAATCAGAGGAGACTCACTAAATCTCTACTTCACATCCACAAAATCAGATTTATGTGTGCCAAAAGGGACTACAATTTCTTATTGAATTTACAAGTGCCAACAAAGACGGCATAATTTTTAACACCTTTAGATCCTGAAAAAATCGCAAGATGAAAGATAACATTGTAATCGGGAAAACATGGCCATCTGTTCACGGCTCAAAATCAATGCTAGACATGAACAAACGGCTATTTAAGTATCGATCAACAGCACAACCAATAGTTTTTCAGTTTGCCACAAAACTGAATGATTGCGCTCTTGATCTCCTGTTTCCAAAACAGCCGCGACTACTTTTTGGGAGGCTCCCTCTGATGTGACAACTGTCCAGCAGCTGACAGACTTTGTGGGCAGGTCCACTTTATTGGGAACCTATCATAATTTTCGCCGTCGGCGTTGCCCAATCACGACCCAGATGCACACGGGGACACGCCCGTTCATTCAATCGCAGAATAGGGACCCAGTGGGTAAGCCTCAACGCAGTTTACAACCTTGGCGTGTCTTGTGAGAAGGTCTCACGCGAAGACATGCGATTTTGGGGGGGAACGTGTACGAACAGCGAGGTAATGTGAGTTCATGGCGTTCGAACGATCAGTGTGGCATTATCAAACTCTTAAATCGTCTGATTGCTGTAAGGAGTCTGTTTAAAACGAACAATTGTTGACGCTAAGTTTGCAGATAGTTCACCTCGTGAAAGGGAGGTCTTTTGAATATCTACAAACTATCGATAAAAAGATGATTTTTACAAAAACGACTCTATGCGACCTTTCTGAATGAGAATCATTGTAAAAATGCCCAATGATTCGTAACTGTTCGGCTTATAACTCAGCAATAATCACCAAACAGACTAGGTGTCATGTACTAGAATGCGCTTTCGAAATTTTTAAGGAAAAAGCCGTATTCTGTGGGTGAATTGCAACACTTTTCGTTTCACCGAAAACCTGGAGCAATTAATAAGAATGGATTCAACTAAATTAAAACCAATGTTTCCTAGATACTAACTCAACAAAGACTAAACAATTGGTATCTAGGCGTTGGATTTTCGGAAACTCAGAAGGGGAATCCAGACATGTCTGTACGCCATTAGGCACAAGACTATCACGACAAATCGACGGTTTTCGTGAATGCGTTAAAATAATCGCATAAATTAACCACAGCTAACTGCATCAAACACGCAAACACGCCCACTCTGATGTGGGAGTATAAATTTTTAGGTCCAAAGGTTAAGTGCCTGTGTACGCTAATACACCTCGAGGAGTGGTTGTGTGAGGCCGGCCGCATTGACACTTCCGAGATGTTAGCGAGGAGAGGCGTCTTTGGTGTCGTCGTCGTCGTCGTCGTTCTCTGCGTTTTGATCGTCGCAGGTGAGTTATGCTCAATTTTATCGCCTATATTGGAACCAAAACTCGAATTTACACCCCTTGCCAAGTAATGTCAACGTCATTGGGGAACCGTGGCAAGTAGAGTAGCAACTTTCAGTAACCTGGCGATGGGCCTAGAATTCCTGCATTAGCATGACATTGTCGTGAATCTAGTCCAAATCAAGCCAATTCAGATATTTCCAGAACAAGTACTTTGTGCTTAAAAATGCTTGTTGTGGGGCCCAGAATGTGGTCTTGAACCGCACCGGGGTCACGGAATTAACCCTGGTCCGATTACGTTTCCCTGATACTCACGATGAAGAAAAAGATCGGAGAGGACATGGGCATAACCGTTTACTTCCGAGCTCAACCACGTTGATGTCGTTGTGTCGTGCGTGGGGTTTGCGCGTGTGTATATATACCTCGGGTGTGTGAGTCATTCATGCGCTGACATCAACACCTAGCTGTGAGGGGAGTTGAGAATCAGCGCGGCTAGCAACATGCTGCGGAAAAGGGGAACCCAATGTCGGAGGCTGGAGCGACCGGATCAAGGAGTGTGTATAAACACGATTCACAACATGCTGCTCACCCTTTTGTCAACAGGACACACAAATATGGCCCGGACTAGGTTAGGATGGTTACAAACACGTTGTAACGAGGCCTAAGCTTCGAGTTTGTGCAGAATTATTTTGTTAATAAGGTGATCACTTGGTGCTGTTGTGCTGATGTATAAGTTGACCTATTTAAGTGACCAGCTCACGCTGGATTGGTAACAATTATTATTCGGAAGAGAGGTCGAAATTTCCAAATTGCGGTGAGAGTCAAAATTTCTGCCTGAGAATTGACAAACCACCAAAGTATCACTGGCACGGTATTGACCAGAGATAGAAGCCGCGGAGAGCTGACATTGATCTGCCAACTTTTTTGATGTGTCAGTTGTAGGCGCCCCGATAGTGGACACAAACGTCACCGAGTCTATGTTCAATGTGACCTCCACAGATGCCAGTACCACGGCAAGCCTCGTGAATGTCTCGATGGATGAATTGACGACAACGTGGAATTACACCACCTCAACCGAGGTTCCAGAGATCATCGTCTTTGTGAACGAGAAAAACCCCTCTGACCCGCCAAATCTCAACGTCACCTCCACAACGAAGGACCTCAACGAGAAGCTGAATAAAGCCGAACGTGTTGGAGCTATAGTTGGCTGTGTGCTGGCGATATTCATCATTATAGCAATTGTAGCTATTTACTTGCTATATCGAAAATCCCATCAAGAATCAACTCACTTTTGACGCTTCGTTTGCATCCCACTGTTTTTACACACCGAAATCGATACTTAAGACGTCAGAGCGTAAATTGAATCGGATTCGTTAAAAATATTACATGTCATCATGCCTCCGAATCCATTCCGAGGGTAATATCAGATATCTAAATGTATTAACCAATCAGGGTAGTTGATTTTTCTGGGGACAATTTAAAACCATAGCATTTAAACAAATGGTCGATTGGATGAAGCCTTCAAACACACAGCTTTTGTTCCTGCATACATGAACATTAGAACTTAAATCAAGTATTCAGATAGGGTCGGGATGAGAGCGCGCGCAAACAGGTTACAACAATCTGGTGGGTTGTTTAAACGTGTGAGCGGCAGTTTAAACACACTCACTGTCAAAAAACCATGTTGTGCGATTTACGGGACTTGTTTAAGCCTAATACTTGATAGTTTCTCGTGGCAAATTGTGGTGATTGGGTCAAGAAAGTTGTCAGCGGGCCTACAAAATTTACTCCTGCAGCAGAAATAAAGAGGAAAAGTTCTTTTTTTCAAGTAAAACAGTTTTATCGAGGGGCCTCGAGTAGCTAATTTGGCATACGTTTGCGTCACTGCGGTAAGCCTGAGAAGAAGATGGGGAATCATTTGAAGAGCTGTGGCTGCAGGTCTGTGTGGAGATTTACTTGAGTGGTCCAGCATCAATCTATCACGCTGTGTGCAAGGGATCTCCTCTAAGTTAACAGTCTAAGAGTTAGGTATCCACTAATGCTGGGATATTTCAGGTGAATTTAGTCATAAATTTATGATTTAACTTGAATTTAATTTAAGAAAATACCCAATTTCAGAGTGAAATCGATTTTTAAAAGAATTTCACACTTAGGTGTAGGTCGAGAGATCCAACATTATAAGTAATTTTAATCAAAGACGGTTTTGGCATGGTGGATCCGAGAACGAACGATAACTACTGTCTAAAAGGTTGACTGAGCAAGAGTCAAATCATCTTTGTCCCGAGTGACCTTAAAAATCAAAAAAATATGGAGCCACATCCAATCACTGATGGGTCATTAGGGTAGTGTGTGGTAGATTTGACCAGTTGGAAAAACTACTTCTGGTCAAAAAGTACAGAGCTTAGGAGAATGCTGACGCTGCCAGAATCATCTCGGTATCCGAGTTGGCAAATTTTTCTTTTTGGTTGTGCTAATAAACTTGGAAATATCGAGATAATTTGTGTAACCTGCTTAGAATGACGATGAGGCTAAGAAGGAAACACAAAAGGAACTGCGGAATTGCGGAAATTTTATGCAAATCACGGTGGTAGGGTGCCTTGCCATAGTGCACAATTTACATGATTCACAAAGTCAAGTCTTGCGCTCAACCTATCTGTGAGTGTATTCAAACAAATTCGCTGACATCACAAGACAAAGTACCGCATAACTGAAGATGTGGGGCTCAAGAATCCAATCGCTGTCAAAGCGTTGTCAACCTCAGAAATGTCAAGCTAAATGTTAATGAGAGTTGTCAATTTGTAGTGAGTACCGCCTAGACTACAAATTAGCTAATTCCAGATAGGTTTGTAACATATAGTGGCATAAATGGCTTTGAAAATCAGCCTTTAGGTCATATCAGGTGCCATTTTAAGCAAAAAACACCCATCGAATCACCGCCTTTCTAGTCAAAGCAGAAATTAGCTCCATTTCTAAGTGAGTCATCCCAGTGGGGTCTTGAAAACTACTGCTTTCCAGCCTCACATTCATAAATAGTGGATGACAGCAAACAAATTTCCAAATGAATGAAATTTAACTGTTTTTTTCAGGGAATTCTTAGTCACAGTGCCTAACATTAATTCATGTTTTCTTTTGACGATAAAATTTCATCGAAAAAGTCAAACATTTTTCTACACACTCAATTAACAAATCAGGTGGTGGAATCTCTGATATCAGCAATTCAAAATTGGTTAAGACGAGTTATTTAAATAATCATTGAAGTAGCTGATAACTGTGATGAATTTTCGTAACGAAAAATTCACTGTTCGAATATATGACAAATGAAAATGCGCGTTTAATTCCTACGTGTAAAATGGGAGGCCAAACGCGGACAGAATTTATATCGATCGGGCACGCACGCGCGCACGACTGTCATGTGCACGTGGACGACACGGCGTGCTCTGATTGGTTGGTGTGCGCTCTCAGACAATCTTGTTCACTTCGGCTACCGAAACGCTGTCAAACTTATGGGAAAGATGAAGGCGGATTAGGCTGCTCTCCTCACTTTGCAGGTGTCAGCCTGAAATTCCCATTTTAGGTAATAAGCAAAAGACCCTTGCCTTATGTGTTTTTTTGGTGTTTCCGCATCAACAAACCAAACCTGATTCGTTTGTTTATCAACTACGCGCAAAGTCCAGTGGCAAATTGAGAGCAGTACAAAACACCACAGAATAAACGCTCGTAATTAACACAAATAACACATCCAGGTGTGTGGCAGGATTTGTAGGCTTGCCAATAATCGAATCACAAGCTTTCCAAATTCAAATCAGCTCTGTGTTGCTGAATCACTTAAAACAGTTTCCAAATTTAGCAATTAATTCAATCACTAGTCACTGCTATGCTTCATCGGAGTACATATGCGCGGTAATTAAGGGACTATTAGAGTTGGAACTCTTTGAGACCAGGGCTATTACTTCGGTTGTGTTTTAAGCGGTTTCAAGAAAGTTACCGTGAAAATATCTTTCTACAAATTGCTAGCCATCGGTGCACCTTATCGGATAAATAGACGCAAATCAATACTCCATAATTTTCTGTGTTGGATAAAAGACACTGATAGGAAATCGATAATCAACGCTGAAGGGGAATGAAATTTGAAGGCGTCATAAAGAGAAGGTAAATTTTCCATGGTGTAGTGAATCTCAGCTTCAACAAGACCAGAAATGAAGGTGCGCTTGAGTCGCGTGCGCTGTTTGAGAGTGAAATGCCAAGATAAGTGCTCCTGTGAGCAGCTGCTGGAACACCTCTTCACCTGGCCAATGCCTGAAGACTCAGACCGCTGCATGACCTTTGCATATAAATGAGGTAAGCAAACTGCCAACACGCTCACACATTTCACACTGGTGACTTATTCCTCACTGGCGCGCAGTGTCTAGCTGCTTGTGATTGAAGGCGGTGAGTTGACGATACGTGCTTTAGTCTTTCATCCCAGTTTGCTTACCATTCTATTCATTTTTGAGGATTTCGACACTGTGCTGTCAGTTTGGTTTGTGCCACACTCTCCTTTGATGGGAGAAGGCAAATTAACCAGCAGTATCAGTTTCCATGTTTATATGTTTGGGAATATTCGACAAGTCTTCAGATTACATGGGCCTACATCACTTAGCTTTTGTGTCCAGATCTACACCCAATCAAATTATAAAAGCAGCTCTTTGGTAGGCATTTGATTGGCCGAAATGTGACTTAATGCTGATGCTGCAGCACAGATGAAGTTTTACATTTTAAATTACTGCTCCATTATCTATAAGATATTGCTTTAGTACCAAACAGTAAATCATGGGAATGAATTATATTCAACCAGAAGAAGCATATATTTAGAAAGCTGATGTTTAATTGTGCGAAATCAAGATAATTCACACAAGAGCATAAAGTTGCAGAGGTTGATTAAATTTAGAATCCATTTTGACTCCATATTACTGCAAGTGATTTGACCAGTTACCTTCATGTTAATCCGCTTTGAAAAACCAAAATTAACATTTGTTAATATATCAAACAATGAAAGACTTGAAAACATTACACTCAGTGGCGTTGTTTGTACTAATTTTCTAAAAACCACACCAATTGTTGTATCTAAGAACAAATTTTATACCATGACTACAATTTCTAACATTTTAATTGGCCTACCGTCTACGAAAAAGGGGGATTTGAGGAAATAATCTCTCCAGTAAAGTAGGTATTTGCATTGAGAAGTTAAATGATGAACTTTGGATCGAATGGCATGATGCACTTTTCAATCATCTTCTTATACGTACTTATGGATCTTTAGACTACCTTATCTTTTATAATGTCCTGATTGGTCGGGCTGAGCAGCCCTGATACGACGCAAGAACGTGGAATGAGGCTAGGGTCATCCTATCCAGCGATTCTATTGGCAGACTGGTGGGATCTCAAACCCTCCAAGAGGCACTGATCATCAAAGACCAAACTCAAAATAGCCACATGTTCTGCGTCTTAAAAACTTCGTCGAGGAGACATCTCAGTGGTTATGTAGAAGTCAGAAGATGATTGTAGATGAAAACCGAAGGCCAGTGTGGTTTTAATGGAACTTTCGAAAATCATATTTCGTCCACGTGGATTGATCAGGAGATATATTCATTCTAACTCCCTCCCTCAGTGTCCCTATGTTTTGGCAATGGATGTGGGAAGCTGGGTGCTACTTAAAAGAAAGAAATAGCACGTCAACAAAGTGACTAATTTTGTCCAGTGACCACCTGCACCTCTGTCTCACAGGAGGTCTACTTCTGATCTGCACGTATGTCCTTATATACTTGAACATTGCCCAGCGCTTGTGTCTGGAGACGGTTGCATTTCCCGGTCCCCACTTCTGACTTCATCCGTCTATCGGAGTCCCATCACGTTTGTGGTGGTGTCTTGTTTCAGGTTGTAAATCACCTCACCAGTATGTTTATTGCTTGTTCGTTGTTTTAATCAACAAACTGAGGAAGCAATCGCAGTGCCGAAACGAAAGATCTCTTTAAATCAATCGTGCAAAATGATTGGTTAAGCTTGATGAGGCATTGCTCACATATACCAAACTGCCATTACTTCGAAACAATTCCCCAAAGTAGCCGTAAGGTTTGAACCTTCGCTTCACCAGAACGCACTGGAATGATCCAGGCAGGATTTGGCTCACATCAGATTTCGAAAGTGTTGCGTTGTAGTAAAATCTTTGGTGTCTTAATTAGACAAGTGATCACTTTGATTGCAGTTCTTTGATCAGTTCAAGAGATCTGGCAGTGAATTTTCATAAATGTGATTGCGC